TATCTATCTATCTATCTATCTATCTATCTATCTATCTATCTATCTATCTATCTATCTATCTATCTATCTACACACACACACACACACACACACCCCACATATAAATAAATAAATCTGGTTTGCCCATTGTTGATAGAAGGATTAACCTTAGCAAACTTCATGTCATGTAGAGCTTCCAAATTCTTCCCCCACTTAAGACAAGTATATGAAACCAGGACTTCCTATGGATCAGTTTTGTTACTTCAAACTATGTGGCATGTGATTCAGACAAGTCTTTAAGTCACCCTCCTTAAACTACAGCCCAAAGTAAACTCTAAAGCATTCATGTTATCAATATTACACTTATAAACCATAATTTTAAATCACTCAAAGATGCTATCTCATTCAATCTATGAATGCAGTTTTCTCCTATCTTCATCCACTAAATATGTTGGGCATATGGCTAGCAGTAGCTTGGAGTTATTATTATTTATTTAATGCAGTATATTAATATTATCCCTATTGAAGCTGTAAGCAGAAATAAAAACAGTCTTTAAAAAAGATATTGAATAATAAAACTTTATTCCTATTATTATTGAAAATGGAGAATTATTCTTTGAAAAAACAAATACCTTAAAGGCATGAGTGAAGAATGGAGTCTTCAGCGGGTGTCTAAAACATGTTAGAGTAGCTGTATCTCAAATTTGGGGTGTAAGGGAGAGCTTACGAGAACATAGTTGCCTCCATGAGCAGAAAGCAGATGGCATTTAACAGTCCTTTGTAGATATAGAGGAATTGTTGGAGTTAAGTTCCAATATATCTGAAGGGCATTAAATTGGAGAAGAACTGTTACTGTTTAAGATATAATGATGATAATGAGAGCACTGTGTTGATCTTGTGGGAAATTTTGGATTCCTTCTTTCAAAATGTATTTGTTTGTTGATCTTGTTATGCCTGTATCACTTCCAAAGAAAGTTCTTCTATTCAATGCCAGTCAGGTTTCTTTTCACAATTCTCCAAAACTCAAAGAGAATACATTGCAAATGTAGGTTTTCGTGAGCTAATGTTGATTAATGTTGTATTTTAAACTTGCTATTTCCTTTGAACTTAAAATATGTACATGTTAATCAGTTTATTTTCTTCTCCTTCTCTTCTCCTGTTATGTCCTGTTGTGTTTCCTCCTGGAACTGAAGGAGCCAACCAAAGGTAAAAAAAATTATAATAGCGTGCAGCATTGGGTGGTGAATTGTGTTCCATTCTTTGCCAAAATATTTTCTACTTTCTTTCCAGATGTATTCAGTACTGTTGTAAGAGGAAGGGGAAAACATTTGAAACTGCTTTTCCTTCTTTCTTTTTCTCTCTCTTTAAAACAAGCCACATATTACATTGGCAGCCAAGTCATGAGTCAGAAGAATAAATCGGAAAGCAGTAGCACATACTGAGGATTGTGGTTATTGGTAAAAGAGTGCTAGGGGTTGTTTTTGTTGTTTTTTGTTATTGTTTTTTTTTTGGTATTTTGGTTTTAGAGTCATTTTTTCATTCTTGCATAGACTCAGTTTGCAATTGTTGTTTCCCAATAGTTTATTTTAATTCTGCATTTGAAGAATAGCAATAGCACTTAGACTTATATACCGCTTTACAGTGCTTTTACAGCCATCTCTAAACGGTTTATAGAGTCAGCATATTGCCCCCAACAATCTGGNGACTAGCACATATGTGCAAGGGAACCTTTACCTTACCCTTTTTAAACACTTAGGTATAATAACTGAGATTTATTCTTTCCTAGTACTTCTGAGATAAACATAATGTTCAGTGGATCAATTTGTGCACCAACTTCAGGTTCTACACTATGTGTGGCTAGATCATATCAGAAAACCTCATTGGATCCATTAATTGAACAGTCATCTGACATTTTTCCACTTGTAGGTCCAGGTTTTATAAACACTGCCAGGTTCATCTCACCCTTCTACCTTACTTCCGTTTTGCTAGGACTAGTTTGGTTGGGTAGAGCTTTAAGCAGATGTGCCTTTGATGGAATGGCAAAAAGGTAACTCTGCTACAAATCTTTTGGCAGAGATCTGATAAGAAATTGAAATTACAGTGTTCTATTAGATCACTATGAACAGCTAAATTGAAAGAACTCAGTGTGTAATTGTACAGACACGTGACAACATATCTCAGTAGTTTTAGAGCCTGGCGGGGTGGGCTGCTGCGTTTTGCAGAGGTTCAGGAGAACCTCTAGCTAAGATTCTGTGCAGTTAGGAGAACCCCAAATGCCACTTCGGGCTGACCCCGCCCACCCCTCCCAGGAGTCCTCATATAGCCTGTTTTGGATGCAGGTAAGTGCAGGGCTTGGGGAGGGCAAAAAACAGGCCTACTGGAAGTTCATGAGGGTCTCTGGAGCCTGGGGAGGCCATTTTCACCTTCCTGGAGGCTTGAGGAAACTGAAACAAAGCCAGCACTCCACACACCCCACCAAGATTTATAGAAAGATGGCAGCTCTGACCACGCTTTATTCACACAAACACAAAGCCGAAAACACCAGCCTGAAGATGGTGAGTGAGACCTCGCCAAAACGTTGGCAAGACAATCTCAATCTTACACAGGAAAAGACTCGAATACTACAAGACCAGCATACCTACACCTGTGAAAATCTGCACAGACACACACACACACACAGACAGACACGTGTGTGTGTGTATATGTTTTCGTAGCTATCGAAATAGAAATTTCGTAAACTATTGAAATAGAGAAACACCCCCACAACATGAATAAACGTGATGATACCTCCCGCCTACCAGACATCTGTAAACCAGCCCTAGTCAACAAACGAGTCCCACCCATCACCCAGGCCGTTACAACACGAACAACAATAGACACACAGCCAGCACCAGTCAGCACCAATCTACCAATCCTGATACAACCACACAACCAATCATTCCACTTACTGAAACAAAGCCAGCACTCCACACACCCCCACCAAGATTTATAGAAAGACAGCAGCTCTGATCACACTTTAAGCCCAAAACCCAGCCTGAAGATGGCGAGTGAGACCTTGCTGAAACATTGCCAATACAATCTAATCTTACACGGGAAAAGATAATTCTTTCCAAATCAGAC